CGCCGGCCCCTAGAGATCCCATCTCATGGGGGGGGGGCAAGGGGGGAACTTGCCCCCCAAGCCAAGTGGGGCGCCCCCCACCCCTAGGGTTTCCAACCCTAGGTGCAGGGGAGGCCCAAGGGGGCGCACCAGACCACCAGGGGTTGGTTCCCCTCCCACTTCAGCCCATTTGGCCCTCCGGGATAGGTGGCCCCACCCGGTGGACCCCCGGGACCCTTCCGGTGGTCCCGGTACAATACCGGTGACCCCCGAAACTTTCCCGGTGGCCGAAACTGGACTTCCTATATATAAATCTTCACCTCCGGACCATTCTGGAACTCCTCGTGACGTCCGGGATCTCATCCGGGACTCCGAACAACTTTCGGATTACCGCATACTAATATCTCTACAACCCTAGCGTCACCGAACCTTAAGTGTGTAGACCCTATGGGTTCGGGAGACACGCAGACATGACCGAGAAGACTCTCCGGTCAATAACCAACAGCGGGATCTGGATACCCATGTTGGCTCCCACATGTTCCACGATGATCTCATTGAATGAACCACGATGTCGAGGATTCAAGTAATCCCATATACAATTCCCTTTGTCAATCGGTACGTTACTTGCCCGAGATTCGATCGTCGGTATCCCAATACCTCGTTCAATCTCGTTACCGGCAAGTCACTTTACTCGTACCGTAATGCATGATCCCGTGACCAACCACTTGGTCACATTGAGCTCATTATGATGATGCATTATTGAGTGGGCCCAGAGATACCTCTCCGTCATACAGAGTGACAAATCCCAGTCTCGATCCGTGTCAACCCAACAGATACTTTCGGGGATACCTGTAGCATACCTTTATAGTCACCCAGTTACGTTGTGACGTTTGGTACACCCAAAGCACTCCTACGGTATCCGGGAGTTACACGATCTCATGGTCTATGGAAATGATACTTGACATTGGAAAAGGTCTAGCAAACGAACTACACGATCTTGTGCTATGCTTAGGATTGGGTCTTGTCCATCACATCATTCTCCTAATGATGTGATCCAGTTATCAATGACATCCAATGTCCATAGTCAGGAAACCATGACTATCTGTTGATCAACGAGCTAGTCAACTAGAGGCTCACTAGGGACATGTTATGGTCTATGTATTCACACATGTATTATGATTTCCGGATAACACAATTATAGCATGAATAATAGACAATTATCATGAACAAGGAAATGTAATAATCATTTTATTATTGCCTCTAGGGCATATTTCCAACAACTGCCGTCTTCACCGCCTCTCCCCATAATGTCGCGGGCACGCTCATGCTTTTCAGCAGACAGCGCGCCATCTCGACAGTCGTCCGGATCCTCCGTTCAATGACGCCATTTTGCTGCGGCGTGTACGGAGCGGTGGTGAAGTGTTTGATGCCGCCGTCGTCGCAGAACTGAAGGAACGCAGTCGAGTTGAACTCGCCACTGCGATCCGAACGAAATCCAAGCAAGCGATGCCCGGACTCAGCTTCTGCTCGTGCCTTGACCTTGCGAAAGCGCTCGAACGCCTCGTCCTTGGCCATGATCACTTCCAGCCACATGTACCATGATCGATCGTCGACAATGAGGAGGAAGTAGTTGTTCCCCCCTCTGCCGCCGGCGTGATCGGACCACACAAGTCCGTATGCACCATCTCCAGGTTCTTGGTGGCGCGGTACGATGTGGCCTGCGGGAAGGGATGCCGATGTTGCTTGCCCAGGATGCAGCCATCGCACACCTGATCCAGTCGATTGAGCAGCGGTATACCGCTCGCCATGTCCTTGCACCCCAACTCGCGCAGGGCGTGGAAGTTGAGGTGGCCTTAGCGTGTGTGCCACAGCCAGGCAGGGTCCGTGCCGCTCGCGAGGAGACACACCGGCCGCGCCGATGTCAGATGCAGGACAAACAGGCGCCCCTTGTTCCTCTTCACGCACGCGAGCAAACGATCGTTGGCGTCGCGAAGGCGAAGCCAACCATGGCGGATGTGCGTGTCGCAGCCGATCTCGTCCATCTGCCCTAGGCTGAGGATGTTGCTGCGAAGACGAGGTATATAGTACACCTGATTCAAAGTCATGTGCTCACCGCTGCGGGTCTCGAAGACGATGGTGCCCTTTCCCTCGATCTGCACCTCCGATCCATCGCCAAGTTTCACGGCCCCCGTCGTGCTGATGTCGAGCTCGGAGAAGATCTCCCGCCGCCCCGACATGTGGTTCGACGCCCCAGTATCCAGGTACCAGGACGTGTCATAGCGACCCCCGTCCTCGACAGCGCGGGCCTGTGACTTTTCCTCATTGAGCAGGACGTGCTCGTCGCGGCTTTGGGGCTCGGTGGTGACGACAGACAGATCGGCGAGGAACACAACTTTATCTTCCTCGCCATCGGCGTCACGGGCAAGATTTGCCTTCTCCTTGCGCTCCTTGCGAGGCTCGGTGCAGTCGCGCGAGATGTGACCGTTCTTGTTACAGTTGTAACATTTCATGGTCAACATGTCGCGTTCTCCGGCCGACGTGCGACCGCCGCCGTCGCCGCGAGGCTTGCCCTTCTTCTTGCCCTTGCGACCTTTGCCGTCGCCGCCGGAGCTGCCCGAGCTCTGGCCCTGCTCCTTGCTGCGGGCCTTCCACTTCTCCTCCGTGAGCAGAATTTTCCCGTCGTTGCTGCCGCTGCTCTGACCGAGGCTATAGCGATCCTCGGCCGAGCGCAGGCGTCCGATCAGCTCCTCCACCGTGAGGAGTCTGGTGTCGAGTAGTGTCTCGATGGAGATGGCGATCTGCGTGAACTGAGAGGGGACAACTTGCAGGAATTTCTCAACCACAGTTACCTCTTCCACGACGTCGCCGAGGACGCGCAAGCTGTTTGCGAGTGTGTTGATGCGCATCCCAAACGCCTCCAGTCCCTCGCCGCTCTTGAACTGGATCTGAGCGAACTCCTTCCACAGGCGCTGTGCAGTGGCCTGCTTGACGCGAGCGACTCCAAGACGCATGGTCTTGACCGTCTCCCACGCCTCCTTCGAGGTTTTCTTTGCCGCGAGCGTGCCCACCATTTCTGGCGGCACTGATCGCAGGATCGCTCCGAGTGCTGCCTTGTCGTTTGACACGCTCATCGGGAAGCCCTCCACGGCCTCCCAGAGGAGGCTTGCCTCCATGTTGATCTGCATGGCCAATGCCCACTCCATGTAATTGGTTTGGGTGAGCATGGGCCAAACGATGGAGCTGCTCGGAGCGGCGCGCTCTTGCACCGTCCGCTCGTGGATGATGATCTCGCTGCCGTCGCTCCTCCGCGCAGTGCTCCGGCCACGGCGCCGCGCCGATCGTGACGGCGTCCGTGACGTCCTGCGCTCCGCACCCCCTGCCGCCGCCGCATCCTCCTTCTCCTTCCGCAGCCTCTCCTTCGTCGCCGGAGAGGCGCTCGACATGGTCACCGGGAACGATAACTGCTCTGATGCCAAATGTAAGGGCTAAGTGGTGAAATCCAGCTCACGAACACACACACACACACACAGAGATGAACACGAGGATTTTGTGCAGCGCACAACAACCACTGCTCTTTGATTTTCCCTTCCTTATTTGTAGCTGCTTACAAGCTAACTGAAACCACAAAATCAAGACATGACTAAGCCTACTGATCGTGCCATCCCACGATCGCTGAGCCACTCCCTTGATGATGCCGTGCTTCGTGCGTTATCTCCGCGCCATCCCACGGACACACGATCACCAGCCTACAAACTAACTGGATCAGCTCGACGACTAACTCAACGAGCTGACCGATTATTCTGCTGAAGCAAAACTAATCCTAAACAGCTAACTGACAGAGAACTAGCCGTTGTCGACAACAGCCTGAAGTGCTACAGTTAACTGACGAAACTGTCGTCAAGCTTAAGCTTCAACAATGACTCAGGTAAGCTTGTTTCCCTGTCTCGTTATCTTCATTCTGATGCAGGATTGATTGAGATCTCGGATGGACAAAATCATCGAATTAGACAAATTAATAAACAACCCAGAAATGATACTGATGCTTATGTTTCTAGTCCACTGCTTACAAATTCTCACAAGCATAAGATTAGAGATATTGATAGGAAGATGCATTCGTTTATATTGCCTTGTTTCCCAGCAATGGATTATCAAAAATTGGGGGAAATGTCATAATGCTGAGATGGAAAATGCGCTTATTAAAATGAAGTCATTAATTCCTATAGAATCCCGAACTGAAATGAAAAAAGCTAGGTTAGTATAGAAAAAATGATTAGAAAAACTGAAATCACATGAAATAAAAAATGGAGGGAAATTGCAAACCCATAAGTGTATTTCTTTACATGTTCTTTATTTATTGAACTTCGCCATTGTATATGACCATATACGTGTTTTTTATACAAACGTTAGTATATTATGAAGGAATAAAATAGAGGGAAATTGCAAATTAATAAATGTGTTTATTTACATGTTCTTTATTTAACAAATGTTAGTATGTTTGTATAGAAAAAAAGCTCAACAATATATTACAAATTTTCTTGGAACCAAAGTGAAACCTTCCCTGTTCCTACCTTATAGGCTTTTGTTCACAACAACAATATAAGATAAACGTCACCACCTCTTATTTGACACGACATATACATGCAAGCAAGTTACGACTTACGAGACCGGTTCATTATGAGAAGGCGCTCTACTACCTCTGTCATCGATGGTCTTTGATCCACATCAAGGTTAAGACATTCCAAAGCGATCGCTGACAAACTATCAAGAATCTCCAAATCTCCTGCGACTACAATTTCCTTGTCAAACAACTCTGTCACTTTCTTCTCTTTCTTCCCAGCTTCAAGGAAACTGTTTACTAAGCTGCCGCCATCAGAATGTGTGGCTTTCTGCCCACTAATAAGTTCCAGTATGACAACACCAAAACTGTAGACATCACTTTTCTCGGTTAGTAGGCCAGTTTGTAGATACACTGGATCGATATAACTCATGTCACCAATGACAGATCCGGTGTGTTTTTTGTCTCTCGCAATCAACCTTGATATGCCAAAGTCTGAGATCTTCGGCGCAAACTTATCATCCAAGAGTATATTTGCAGGTTTAACATCACCATGTATGATTTTGGCATTGGTTTTTGAGTGCATATAGACCAGAGCATCTGCCGATTCGATAGCAATACTTAAACGCACACCCAAGTTGAGCGTCACCTTCTTTTTGCCGTGAAGAATGTCATCAAGGCTACCATTGGAGAGAAACTCATAGACCAACATCGGGATATCAACTTCTAGGCAACAACCTATGAGCCTAACGATGTTCTTGTGGATTACTCGAGACTGAATGATGACTTCGTTTGCAAACTGTTCATTCTCTAGCATAGTACCACTAATTGGCTTCTTTACCGCAACTTCTTCATTATCAAGAAAGCCCTTATAAACTTCGCCAAAGCCGCCTTTTCCAATGAAATTGCTACTCTTCAAAATTGGCTTGAGCTCCTCCTTTTTGAAAAGTTTTATGAACTTTGCCTTCTCTAATGTAGGCCCGCCGTTCTTTTGATAAAACTCTCTTGTCTTTTGTTTCTCTTTGTGAAGAAGAATAAGGAATGATATAGCCGCGATGATAAAAATACCACCTATTCCACCTACATGGACACAAAATAAAATGATTTCACATCACTAAAACTTTGAATAACTTAATCTATCTGCATAGGAGAATATAAAAAGTAAACAATTTTTTTTAATAATACACTTTGAATTTGTCACCACTATGGAAAAAACTACAGCAAATAGCTCGCATATGTTATCAAGGACGATGTAAACCATCATACTTTATGGGTGAGTGATAATAGGAGACTATATTAGATGGTTTGGTGTGAAGAACCACCTTTAATATGTCGACAGCTGAGTAGAAGCCAAACAAATTCACCCAGAACATCCGAGGATTTCTTGTAAGGGCCTCTTCAACTCAAAGGATTTTTATAGGAATTATGGAGCATAGGAATCCTCAGGGATTTTTCCTATGTTGGTCATCTGTGTTGTATGATTGAATCATATAGGAAAGTTTACAAAGGATTGATTTATACTACATTTCACAGAAAAAAAATCATCCACTCAATTATCTTGGAAGAATCCCTTCTTACTTTCTGTGATAGATTAATAACCAAAATCATGTAGGATTCAAATGAACATGCATATAATCATACATTTTCCCCTTCTCAAGTTTTCATAATCATGTGAATCAAAGAGGCTTTGAAATCACAAAGTTTGTTTCCCCATCCACCTTTAGGGCTCATACTCCAATCTAACACTCCACCTAAATCAAGATGGTCGTGTATCGTAATGATGCAGAGGCCAGAGGTTTCAACCTTCTTTTCTTAAAGAATAGCCCGCATATAAATCCCCATAGGCGATAGATATTCCCCCTAGTAATGTGCTAATGGGACTCATTTAGATTAAATACTAAGTAACAACCCATAATAGAAAATGTGTACAAATTAAAAACATTTGAAAGTAGGAAAAAATCTTAGCAAAAGCTAGATTGAGACATGTGTACTGCTAGCTAAGGACAAAAAAAAGTTGTAGTCGATTAATGTGGTGCGATGTAGTATTTGTGCTTACCCACAATCACCTGTGCTACTAGGGGGAATTTATCGGTGCAAGTTCCTTTTATACCGTCACCTTTCATTCCGAGTTTACATGGACAGTCATAGCCTTCCAGCCTGTTCTTGCAGATCCCATCACTCGAACAAGGATACAACTCAGGATTCAGTTTTCGGAGCTTGCACTCGTCGATGTCTGAAGAAAAAACAAAAAAGGTTAAAGGTTCGAAATCTGGTTTTCACAACAAGAAGAAAAGTTTGAGATCTGGAGTAAAAAAGAGATACTAGTACGAATTAAGGCTTAGTATACCTTGGCATCCATTGGCGATGTAAGGGTTGCCATCGTAATGTTCCAAGCACCTGCACACATAGCCATGGGCAGCACCACCTGTCGCGTTGGCGCAATAGCTGTTGCCGCTGACGCAGGCGTAGTCCGGAGGTGGTTTCTGGCCTTTCCCCGGGCATGCACCGTTCCGGATGGAGAAGTCGAGCACGAAGGGGATGCCCCTTGGGTACCTCCTGGGCAGCACCTCGACGCCGTACAGGTCCGGCGTGGAGAAGCGGTACCAGTCGCTCTCGACCACCATGGCGTAGGTGCACGGGTTGGTCTGCCACATGGGGTTGTCCTCGATGCTGAACCACGTCCCGAAGTCGGTGAGCGGAGCCGCCTCCGGCAGCGCGGCCTGGCAGCAGCCCCGGCTGGAGCATGACCCATTGGTCGCCAGCTGCAGGAGCTTGGGCATGCCCATAAGGTCCGAGAGGCAGGCGAGCGAGAACTCATAGGTGGAGTTCCGGTACGCTGACCACAGGTAGCTCATGATCTTGGGTTCCACCCTCCAGCCCACGCCGACGAGGAGGTTGCGCGTCACCGACAGCAGGAACGGGCCCCTCTCGCCCAGCGCCAAGTTCTGGCACTTGGCGACGTAGTCGCCACTGAGGTTGGCGGCGTTGCAGAGGGACGAAACGAGGCCATAAGCGCGCGCCTCGCCGTCGGCCACCGATATGTCTATGAGCTCCAGGGCCGTGTTGCCATGGTCGGTCCTCCACACAGGATGGTGCCACCCCACCTTGTAGTATATCTCGGCTATGTGCTGGTTTACTCCGGCGTAGGCGAGAAAGGCGCGGTGGGGAGTGAAGGAGTCGTTGCAGGTGACCTGGAAGCCCTCGCGGAAGCAGCCGGGCTTCGTGCCGAACGGGAAGGGGATGAGAGTGTCGCCGCACCTGTCGGGGCAACCCGGAAGCGTGATCGGCTGCTTCTCATCTTGTTCTGCAGTAGCAGCAGCCTGTAAGATCAAGCGAGTTGATGCTGCTGCTGCAAGGAGGACTAGGATTATTGGCAGTGGCTGGGAGTGATGGGATTGGGAGCTTCGCGTGGTGGTCATGGCCGGTACGGTGTTGTATGCTGCCCTGCGCTTGTGAAGCAACAGCTCTATTCCACTCATGCAGATTACTCCTAGGTCGTCATTAAGCTCCGGCGGGTGGAGTAGTAGATGGACTTCCACGTCCCGAATATATGGGGAAATATGGGAACAAAATTCCGTGCATACGGGCTATAAAAGCACAAAAATGCTAGACCTATGTATGGCTTTACGAAAAGCTACGTAAACCTTCCATCGCTAACTAATCAGCCCCCCTGATTTTCAGGGGTGGGGCCCCCTCCCTTTTTTTTCCAATCAAATATCTCCAACTTAGTCTCTTCGTAAGGTACGTAAAACAATTTACGTAGGTGTAGCGTTGTCCATAAAAGCATCTACAGCCGGGCCGGGCGCCTCAAATCGGGCGGCCCCCCCGGTCACTGTCATGAAATTTCGATACAGATGGGCGTCGCAAACGGGACTTATCCGGTCTGACGGCACCCTCATATCAAGGCCAAATATGAAGCGTACATGGAGGCATCCAGGCGTGCTTGCCACGTCGGATCCGGCCCACACTGGCTCACCCGACCCCACATAATTCTTCCCATCCGCTCGCCAGACCAAATCCTAGCCACTTCACTTCATTCCCCTCCGCCACCCATGCTCACCTTCGGTGGTCTGGGGCCGTTTCCGGCATGGCGTGCAGCGGATCAGAGTCCTTCACCTCCAGATCCGTCGACCCCGAGCTCATCCCACATGGCACCGAGGAGGATATGGATGTCCGGCTTGCGCTCCGCCGCTCCCGGGAGGAGGCCCGTGCGAGGCAGCGCTCGGACTCCTTCCGTCGGGAATCCATTGCGTCCGCCCAAATGGTGCATGGATCCGGCGCTAGGTGTGCCGTCGCTGCCTCACTAAAGGCAGTGCGGTCCATCTGGTGTCCGAACGCGGTGGTGGACGCGCAACCCCTCCGTTGACACGCCAAGCAGCAGGACACACCATTGGCGTCGTGGGACAAAAACATGACATGACGTGCCCACCATGTGAGGCAGCGGAAGGCGGCGGCACCCTTCGCGGCGGTGGACGTCGGCGAGGCGGAGTCGCACTCTTCGGCGCCCCATATGTCGCAGCAGTCTGGGCGCCGCAACCGCGTCGTGGTGGATGTCCGGCTCATCCCAGGATGGATTCATCATCGATCTGATGTCCACCAACATCCAATGGGTTTCGGGCTCCGATGAGGAAGGGTAGGGCATGGGAGACGACGACACCTTGAGTCCCGTGAGCCGGCTCGTGTTCCATGTCCTACTCTACCTTATCGGCAACCGGACCAACACTCTGGGTGCGCAGCCGGCCGTCCAACATGGGCACGGCGACCGGACGAGCTCCACTTAAATATCGCTATGTTGCATATAATAATATGGATTTGAGGTTTCTAATCTAAAGTATCTGAATGTGAAATGCGTTATTTGAAGCGGGACGGCCCGATTTGCATGTGCGCCTGTAAATGCTGTAAACACTTTCCGCGGCCATGTACCCCACCTCACTGATTTCCTGCTGGTAACCTTCGTCGGTTGCTTCGCTCTGCTCAAAAGCAATGAAAAAGCATCTAGCATGGGGTCTTCAAATCTTCATCGTGTGCTCCTTTGCTTAAAGGAATCCAATACTAAACAAAAAGAATCTACAAAGAAAGAATGACACTAACACTGAAACGATCTACATAGACTAAAGAGTGATCGTGCTGAGTGCTCACGTAGTTGAGTGGCACAAGAGCACGTCCAACAGCAGGCACGCAAAAATAAAGCGGATTTTCAAGACATGGGGCAGCGGAGCACTTTGAACCCACCAAAATATGTGCTTAATTTTTTTGAAAAGATTTGAATTTTTGTACATGAATACGCACACATGTGGTCTAGGTACGTGTGAAATTTCGTTTGAAAATACGTTGTATTGTATGCTGCATGAAAAAGACAAAAAATTTGGCCCAAAATAAACTGGCCCCAAATTTGCATGTATTTTGTCTTTTTTTATCTCTCACATGCCAGCACGTATATTGGTGAAATTTTGCCCCGTTATACTGTATTGCTATACGTGTCCGTACATAAATTTTTGGAATTTTTTAAGCCATACAAATTCATTTTTTTAACTTCAAAATAACGGGCACAAGTGCCCGTGCTCATATGTCAATTTTCGACGCAAAAATTTCGTATTGGGCACCAAAAAAGTGCATTTGCATCATCTGATTTTTTTTACTCCAACAACAGCCCTACAATAGGGCACCAGTTTGCATTGCCGACACCGACGCTTCGACTCTTGGGGGAGGGGTGTGGTTGAACGTGACATATCCGCATATATCTCCAAATTATCTCTCTCTTATCTCTACCCATGTATAGCCTAACTACTAAAGATTTGGTAGGGTTAACTGACTTGTCACACAAGACATGTACTATACTAGAAGGAAACGCGCGCGCTGCTGCGCTGTTTTTCATCCATGAAAAACAAAATATATAGAAGTACTCCAACAAATTTAGCAGAAAACCAACAATTTCAATGACACCACAGACTAAGAGGAAATTTCATTGGAATTCCCTAGTCCATAATCACATTCTCACTTGCCTCCCCCAATTACTATTGTTCCTGCATTTGGGCCTCCTAAGTCATGTCTTACTTTCACAAAAGATGACACTTCCAAATAAGGCGTTAATCAAAAGTTATTTTACCCAGAGAAAAGGATATCACATATTCCATACAACAGTCTATAAGTCACAGATGTACAATGCTCATTAACTATGGTATAACTGCATAACGGTGTCTTGATAGTGTTGAGGATGTTATCATATAATATTCAGTAACGCCAACCGATTTCCTTGGATAGAGGGGGTTGTGGTCCTTCATGAAACGCTCCATGAGATCCATACGAAAAAGCTAGGCAGGGTTGTTTTCAAAGTGGATTTCAAAAAGGCGTATGATAAGGTTAAATGGCCATTTTTGCAACAGGCCTTGCGCATGAAAGGTTTCGACCCGGCTTGGAGGAACCAGGTTGAATCATTCATGCAAAAAGGGAGTGTTGGAATCAAGGTGAATGACGACATAGGTCATTATTTCCAGACACATAAGGGCCTGAGACAAGGAGATCCGATGTCACCTGTCTTGTTCAACATTATAGTTGACATGTTGACCATTCTAATAGGTAGGGCAAAGGATGCTGGTCAAGTAGGTAGCCTGGTACCTCATCTGGTTGATGGAGGGGGTGTCTATCCTACAATACGCTAATGATACTATCATCTTCATGGAGCATGACTTGACAAAAGCGAGAAATATGAAGCTGCTGTTATGCTTATTCGAACAATTGACCGGGTTAAGATTAACTTTCACAAGAGCGAATTGTTCTGCTTTGGAAGAGCCAAAGAGGAACACGAGGCTTACAAGCAATTGTTCGGGTGTGAACTTGGGAATCTACCTTTTACATATTTGGGTATACCAATTCATCATCGTAAGCTAACAAATAGAGAATGGAAGTGTATTGAGGATCGATTCGAGAAGAAACTAAGTTCCTGGAAGGGCAAGTTGATGTCGTACGGGGGTCGTTTAATTCTAATTAATTCGGCACTCACGAGCATGCCCATGTTTCTTTTGTCGTTTTTTGAGATACCAGTTGGAGTCCGGAAAAGACTGAATTTCTATCGATCACGATTTTTCTGACAGAGTGATGACCTGAAAAAGAAATATAGACTTACTAAATGGGATATTATTTGTCGACCGAAAGACCAATGTGGTCTAGATATCAAAAATCTTGAGGTGAAAAACAGGTGTCTTCTCAGCAAGTGGCTGTATAAGTTATCTTTAGAGTCGGAGGCCACGTGGGCGCAAATTCTGCGTAATAAGTACCTTCATTCCAAAACTTTGTCACAAGTAACAGTGAGGCCGACGGACTCACCTTTTTGGAAAGGGTTGATGAGAGTTAAAGCAGCTTTTTTCAACAAAACAAAGTTTATAGTCGGAAATGGTACTACCACGAGATTCTGGGAGGATACATGGTTAGGAAACACCCCTCTCGCGCTGCAATATCCCTCCCTTTATAGCATTGTGCAACAAAGAGACGCCTTCGTTAATACCGTGCTTCAGTCCACTCCTCTCAATATCCAATTTAGGAGAACACTTGCTAGAGCCCGTTGGGAAGCTTGGCTCCATTTGGTGAGAAGACTAATGGATGTGCAGCTTTCTCAACAGCCAGACACGTTGTGCTGGAGGTTAACTAAGAACGAAGAGTTCACGGTTAAATCTATGTATTTAGATGTAATTAAATCCTTGGAACTTATTTTTTTAAAAGATCTATTGTCTATTTATGCACCAGGCAAAAAGCCTATAAATGCAAATGATGAAAAAATTAAGACTCTATTGACAGTGTCTATAACATGGCTAGCATCAAACATGAGCCAGATTCCGAAAGAAGACAACATTCAAAACGAGAGGTATAGTAGAAGCCATGAGCAAAGAACTGCAGGAATATAAAAGCAAGTTGATTGTAAAAATACCACAAACCATGAACACTGTTGAAAGAATCAAGAAGATGTGTCTAGAGGGGGGTGAATAGACCCTTAACACACAAAGTTGGCAGTTTTTAAGTTTTTCAAGTTTAATGGAGTTTAAGCACAAGTTTGACCACTCACAATACATATCAAGCAAGCATGCAAAGAGTATATGAGCAGCGGAAAGTAAAGCATGCAACTTGCAAGAAAGTAAAGGGATGGGATTGGAGTGTGCAAACGCAATTGGAGACACGGATGTTTTTGGTGTGGTTCCGATAGGTGGTGCTATCGTACATCCACGTTGATGAAGACTTCAACCCACGAAGGGTAACGGTTGCGCAAGTCCACGGAGGGCTCCACCCACGAAGGGTCCACGAAGAAGCAACCTTGTCTATCCCACCATGGCCATCGCCCACGAAGAACTTGCGTCACCTTCACGAAGTAGGCGATCTCCTTGCCCTTACAAACTCCTTGGTTCAACTCCACAATCTTGTCGGAGGCTCCCAAGTGACACCTAACCAATCTAGGAGACACCACTCTCCAAAAGGTAATAAATGGTGTGTT